TTACTAGACAGGAGCTGATTGGTTCCCCCAAACCAGTACTCCGCCCACATCAGGCAGCTTGTGGTCTCTGAGGAGCTTACATAATCCACCCTCAAGGGAACTAGGAAATGGCTCCTCTGATCTCCTAGAACAGGTCATTTCTTTAATCATGGACCTTAGTCAGAGAGTGAGGAAACAACCAGAAACTGTCTTTTATAGGAGGGACAGTGATGAGGGGATTATAGGACGAGGGTCCCCCACCCCCTCTATCACTCATCGCCATCTTCCCAACACAGAAGTACTGCACTTCCTTATTTAGTCCATGAAGAACAGTGGGGCTGAGCCCCACCAGAGGTCAGAGAGTGAGGATAGATAGGGAACAACCAAGACGAAGACTGAACTGATCCTGAAGACCACCATCATTGGGGTATTGACTCCTCCCTCAGGAGGAGCAGGAGGTCGTGGGAGGAGCGGAGAGTACGGTTTTGGGGTGATATTTTGGAGACAAGATCGGTGATGTAACTTGGGACAGAGTTATAAATGGCTTTATATGTTATTAATGTTTTGACTTTTATTCGTTGGCAATGTGAATCCACTGGAGGGATTGGCAGAGGGTTGGAGGACACTGAATGGAAAGCCAGTGGAGGGATTGGCAGAGAGGGGTGGAGGACACTGAATGGAGACCAGTGGAGGGATTGGCAGAGAGAGGGGTGCAGGGACACTGAATGTAGGTCGGTGGAGGGATTGGCAGAGAGGGGTGGAGGACACTGAATGGGAGAACAGTGGAGGGATTGGCAGAGAGGGGTGGAGGACACTGAATGGAAGCCAGTGGAGGGATTGGCAGAGAGGGGTGGAGGACACTGAATGGAGACCAGTGGAGGGATTGGCAGAAAGGGGTGGAGAATACTCAATGGAGGCCAGTGGAGGGATTGGCAGAGAGGAATGGAGGACACTGAATGGAGGCCAGTGGAGGGATTGGCAGAGAGGGGTGAGGACACTGAATGGAGGCCCAGTGGAGGGATTTGGCAGAGAGGGTGGAGGACACTGAATGGAAGCCAGTGGAGGGATTGGCAGAGAGGGGTGGAGGATTGGGAGTGGAATCCAGTGGAGGGATTGGCAGAGAGGGGTGGAGGACACTGAATGAAGGCCTGTGGAGGGATTGGCAGAGAGGGGTGGAGGAAGCTGAATGGAGACCAGTGAGGGATTAGCAGAGAGTGGTGGCAGATACAGAACGGTTAGTGAGGTGGATGAGTCTGGCAGCATCATTCATGATAGACTGAAGAGGGGATAGCCTGCGATGAGGTAGGCCAATGAGGAGGGAGTTACAATAGTCAAGGTGAGAGACAACAAGAGTAGTTCAGGATCAGGATGTACCAATATTGGTGTAGAAATGAAAAATAAACTTTAGCTTACTAAAAGCAGTGTGTGCCTCAGGTGACCATACAAAGGGCACTCCTTTCTTTGTCAGCTCTGTAATTGGTGCGATTACCTTAGAGATGTTTCTTATGAATTTCCTGTAAGTTGGCAAATCCAACAAATTGTATTTCCTTCACGTTTCCAGGTACAGGACAATCCACCACTGCCTTGATCTTCTCGGGATCCATGCTCACTCCTTCTGAAGAGATAATAAATCCCAAGACCTGGATCTGGGTTTGTTCAAACTCACATTTCTCCAGTTTGAAGTCGGTTCTTCCTTAATCTTTTGAATACAGTGCAGACACGCTTGAGATGGTCCTCCAAGTTATCGGGAAGGATGAGAATATCATCCAGATATACAATAACAAACTGGTCCAACAGATGTCAAAACACATCATTGATGAAGTGCTGAAAAGTCGCATCGGGAGCGTTGCATAGGCCAAAAGGAATAACTAGGGACTGGAAGTGCCCATATCTGGTTGTAAAGGTGGCTTTCCATTTGTCTCCTTGATGAATGTATACAAGGTTATATGCCCCCCGTAAGTCAGGTTTTGTAAAGACTTTGGCAGAGCGGAGTCTTTCCAGAATTTCAATGATTAATGGGAGTAACGGTTTTTTATAGTGATTTATTCTAGTCCCTGAAATCGATGCATGGACGCAAAGTGCAATCCTTTTTCTCAACAAAGAACAGGGCTGCCCCTGCAGGAGATGTTGAGGGTCTGATAAAGCCCTTCTCAAATTCTCATCAAGCCACTCCCTGAGCACCTTTAATTCAGGTTCTGACAGATTTAGAAGGCGGCTGAATGGTATTTCTGACCCTGGAAGCAGTTCAATGGGACAATCGTAAGGGTGAGGAGGAGGTAATTGATCGTCATTCTTTTTATCATGGATATCTCGGAACTCATAGTATTGTGGAGGCAGGTTGTCATATGACTGGGTAACTTACCACATCAACTTGTGATTCCCTGATTGGTAGAAAACTTGTACAACATGGTTCCCTACAATGCTCCTTGCAATGAGGGGACGTAAAATGTACAGTCCGTTCTCCCCAACTGACGGTGGGGTTATGGGTAGAAAATCAAGGAATGCCCAAGATGACAGGAAATTTAGGGGATGTAATCAGCTGAGAGCTGATGGTCTCATAATGGTCAGCCACAAATTAGAGTAACAGGGGAACCGTTTCATGGGAAACACCGGTCCTAAAGGTGAATCATCAACCGTCTCCATATCAATGGGGCAGATTTGTTTCTTGGGAGATTATTGTTGTTGTGGGCAAATTCTATGTCCATAAAGTTCCGCCCGACCCCAGAGTCCAGCATAGCAGAACATGGAATTTCATGGCCCTCGGTGATAAGTTTGATAGGGACAACAAAATGAGACTGCATAGAATCAACTTTTATGTCTTCATAAATCAATGGGGAGATAGACTGGTAATGGAGTTTATTTGTTCAGGCACTATACTTGGGGATTTCAACATCCCTGTCAACATTGACAACCCGGCCACATCCCAACTCCTCCACTTAACCTCCTCCTTTGCACTTGCACAGTGCATACAATCCACCACACACTCCGATGGAAATATCCTGGACCTTGTCTTTCTCCAACCGCTGCGCTCCCCACAACCTCAAACACTCCCTTCCCTCTCTCTGACCACAACCTTATCACCTTCTCTATCTCCTTGTCCTCCAACCCCTACCCCTCTAAATGTCACACTACCACCAGCCGTAACCTCCGCAACCTGATCCCTGCCCCCCCCCCCCCTGCCCCCCTCCACTCTGCAGCTGATCAACTCCATGACAGCATCCTCCCCGTCCTGCCTTTTCCTGGCTATGACCGCCTAAAACAACGCACTGTCAACAGCCCTTGACTCACTAGTGCCTTTCAACCACATGAAACATCAGACCCCGACCACTCCAGCCCTGGCAGACTGATCACACCAAAACCCTCAAATGAAACAGTCGTGCCCTGGAGCGACTATGGTGCAAAACCAGATTCCAACAAGCCTACACCCGCTACAAATCTGCCTTCCACACCGACACCTCCTCCCTCCACACCGCCAAGCAAGCCTACTTCCAGACCCTCATCAAGGCCCTCTCCTCCAATCCTTGCCGACTCTTCTCCACCTTCAACTCTCTACTCTCGCCACCCCCACCTCCACCCAGCACCTCACTCACTGCCCTTGAGATTGCCAATCACTTCAAAAACAAGATTGACACCATTCGCAAGGACATCACTGCAGCTCACACTCCCCCCATACCTGTCCCCTCTCACACAGCAACCCCCTCATCCCCCCCTCTCCCTCAACTCACTCCGCAGAGACTTTGTCGCTGCTCAAACTCCCTCAGCTACCCCCTCATCACCCCTCTCCCATGGCCCCACCACTGCTCTGACCTCCACCCCACCCAACATTCTTCATACTGAACCCCCCTCAACACTCCGCACCTTTGACCTTCTACCATCGAGGTCTCCAAGGTCTTCTTTGATGCCCACCTCACCACCTGCCCCCTCGACCCTATCCCCTCACAACTCCTACGACCTACCTCCCCCTCCATCCTACGCTCCCTCACCCACATCTTTAATCTCTCCCTCTCCTCCGGCACTTTCCCCTCCCCTCTGAAACATGCACACATCACCCCCATACTTTAAAAAGCCCTCCTGGACCCCAATGGCCCAAACAACCTCAGACCCATCTCCCTGCTCCCATTCACATCCAAAATCCTCGAGCGCTTAGTCTACACCCGCCTAAGCTCTCACCTCAATGACAACAACCTCCTCGATCCCCTACAGTCCAGGTTCCATCCCCTACACTCCACTGAAACTGCCTTACTCAAACTCTCCAATGACCTGCTAACCGCCAATGCTAATGACCACTATTCAGTGCTCCTACTCCTTGACCTCTCTCTGCGGCCTTCGACACAGTCGACCACCCAATCCTCCTCAAAAAACTACACTCCCTTGGCCTCAGAGATTCCGCTCTCTCCTAGCTCTCATCCTACCTGTCACAACGCTCTTTTCAGCATTACCTATAATGCTACCACCTCCCCTTCACTCCCCCTCTCTGTTGGGGTCCCTCAAGGCTCCGTCCTCGGGCCCCTTCTCTTCTCCATCTACACCTCCTCCCTTGGCCAACTCATACACTCTCACGGCTCCAACTACCACCTCTATGCCGACAACACACAAATCTATCTCTCAACCCCCCACCTCACCCCCTCAGTCTCCGCCCTAATCACACACCTACTGAGCGACATATCAGACTGGATGTCGCTCCACTTCCTTAAACTGAACCTCTCCAAAACCGAGTTTCTTGTCTTCCCCCCAGCCCGGACACCACCCCCCCCATTGACTTCTCCATCACATCCAACAACGCCACCATCAAACCCGCCCCACAGGCCAGAGTACTGGGGTGTCATTCGGGACTCCAACCTATCCTTCCAGCCCCAAGTCCAATCACTAACAAACTCGTGCAGACTCCACCTCCGCAACATCACCAAAATCCGCACGTTCCTAACCCCAGAAACCACTAAACAGCTCATCCACTCCCTCATCATATCACGACTCGACTACTGCAACTCCCTCCTCACTGGCCTGCCTCGCCACAGGCTATCCCCGCTTCAGTCCATCCTGAATACGGCTGCAAGACTCATTCACCTTTCCAACCGCTCCGCCTCCACCACCCCCCTCTGCCAATCCCTCCACTGGCTTCCGATTGCGCAATGGATCAAATTCAAAATCCTAACGCTGACGTACAAAGATGTCCACCATACTGCCCCGTACTACATCACCGACCTGATATCCAAGTACCGCCCAACACGCACACTCCGCTCCTCACAGGACCTCCTTCTCTCTAGTTCCCTGGTCTCCTCCTCCCATGCCCGCCTCCAGGACTTCTCCAGGGTGTCACCCATCCTCTGGAACTTCCTGCCCCAACCCATCAGATTAACACCTACTCTCCTCTCCTTTAGGCGCACCCTGAAAACCCATCTCTTCAGGGAAGCCTACCCCACCCCCTGCTAACTTGCCGACCTCCTCCACTCTTCCTACCACTTCATCCCCCACAGCTATCTCCTCCTGTACCACCATCCCCTCCCTCCTAGATTGTAAGTTCGAAAGAGCCGGGCCCTCGATCCCCTCCCCTCATGTTTTGCTTTGTATTGGTATTGTTCTGTCACATGTTCTGTCCCCCTTTGAAATGTACAGCGCTGAGCGAACTATTGGCGCTTTATAAATACTGTATAATAATAATATACTATCAATCGCAGCAATTGTTCTTTTAACTTTGTTGTGACAATTAACTGTGTAATGTCCAGAGTCCCCCACAATACAGACGGTAGCAGGAGAGATAAGAGCAAGATATTGGATGGAGAAGGCACAAAAATCTGCCAAACAGGAAGTGCAAAGACATGGCTTAAATCAGGAAGTTCATGGGAGGAGCAAAGAGTTCAAGGTTCAGCAGAAAACAAAGCAATGGATAAGCAGAGTGCCGTCCATTATATCAGATAACTCAGTGAGAAGAGTTACTGCCAGACACAGTAGAGGTCCTGGGTTTCAAGTCCAGGCTCTGACAGGTGCCTAGGTTTAGCAGAGTCAATGAATTAATATTTATCTGAACAAATTGTGTCTGCAGCACAGAGAAGGAAGATTATCCGAGAGAAATCCAGGAATACAGGACGGGGAACACAGCTCAGGAAAGTGACCAGGGGATTACAGGCTGATATCACCCAGTCCCCGCCCTACTCTGGACCAATCAGTGAGCAGTATGGGTGGAGGAATGGATTTAGTGTTCATGACCCACCTGTGCTGATCTCTGTAGGAGTGTCCTCCTCTATAAATGTCCCCGTTATTCCATCCTCCTCCCATAGACTGCTGATCATCCCTCACATACGCCTCTTCTTCTTCTGCTTTCACCTCAAATTCTATATCGATTGGATCTCACTCTAAATCAAGGAAATAAGAGAAAATATCATCTAAAATGTA